GTGGTGGTGTGGATGACTGGTGGAGTGTGGTGGTGGTGTGGATGACTGGTGGAGTGTGGTTGTGGTGCTGTGGATGACTGGTGGAGTGTGGTGGTGGTGCTGTGGATGACTGGTGGAGTGTGGTGGTGGTGGTGTGGATGACTGGTGGAGTGTGGTGGTGGTGGTGTGGATGACTGGTGGAGTGTGGTGGTGGTGGTGTGGATGACTGGTGGAGCGTGGTGGTGGTGCTGTGGATGACTGCTGGAGTGTGGTGGTGGTGGTGTGGATGACTGGTGGAGTGTGGTGGTGGTGGTGTGGATGACTGGTGGAGTGTGGTGGTGGTGGTGTGGATGACTGGTGGAGTGTGGTGGTGGTGGTGTGGATGACTGGTGGAGTGTGGTGGTGGTGCTGTGTCCTTATGAAGATCTGCCTTCGTAAACACTTTGTACTCACCTAGTTGTGCTTGCAGGGGTTGAGCTCTGGCTCTTTGGTCCCGCCTCTCAACCGTCAATCAACTGGTGTACAGGTTCCTGAGCCTACTGGGCTCTATCATATCGACATTTGAAACTGTGTATGGAGTCAGCCTCCACCACATCACTGCCTAATGCATTCCATCCGTTAACTACTCTGACACTGAAAAAATTCTTTCTAATATCTCTGTGGCTCATCTGGGTACTAAGTTTCCACCTGTGTCCCCATTTTCGTACCTAACCTACCTAACCTAACCTAACCTAACTTTTTCGTGCTTCTTTATATAGTCTTCTTTAATTTATATTATATATATATATATATATATATATATATATATATATATATATATATATAATCTTTAACCTCATCATTCAGGAGTGTGCTGCGGGCAGATGTGTCTCCAGGAGAAAGTGTAGTAGTGATGAGTTAGGAGCGGCGGTGGTTGGGTTGATGAGCTCTTTATGTTGAGCCCGAAGGTCTGCTGGCCCCTACACTCTCCTTGTACCTGACCACTGTGGTCTCCCCCCACACCCTGACCACTGTGGTCTCTCCCCCACACCCTGACCACTGTGGTCTCTCCCCACACCCTGACCACTGTGGTCTCCCCCCACACCCTGACCACTGTGGTCTCTCCCCCACACCCTGACCACTGTGGTCTCCCTCCCACACCCTGACCACTGTGGTCTCCCCCCCACACCCTGACCACTGTGGTCTCCCTCCCACACCCTGACCACTGTGGTCTCTCCCCCACACCCTGACCACTGTGGTCTCTCCCCACACACCACTGTGGTCTCCCCACACCCTGACCACTGTGGTCTCCCCCACACCCTGACCACTGTGGTCTCCCCCACACCCTGACCACTGTGGTCTCCCCCCACACACCCTGACCACTGTGGTCTCTCCCCACACCCTGACCACTGTGGTCTCTGACCCCTCACACCCTGACCACTGTGGTCTCCCCCCCACACCCTGACCACTGTGGTCTCCCCCCACACCCTGACCACTGTGGTCTCCCTCCCACACCACCACTGTGGTCTCCCCCACACCCTGACCACTGTGGTCTCCTCCCACACCCTGACCACTGTGGTCTTCCCCCACACCCTGACCACTGTGGTCTCTCCCCCACACCCTGACCACTGTGGTCTCTCCCCCACACCCTGACCACTGTGGTCTCCCTCCCACACCCTGACCACTGTGGTCTCCCCCACACCACTGTGGTCTCCCCCACACCCTGACCACTGTGGTCTCCCCCCACACCCTGACCACTGTGGTCTCCCCCCCACACCCTGACCACTGTGGTCTCCCCCCACACCCTGACCACTGTGGTCTCCCCCCACACCCTGACCACTGTGGTCTCCCCCCACACCCTGACCACTGTGGTCTCCCCCCACACCCTGACCACTGTGGTCTCCCCCACACCCTGACCACTGTGGTCTCCCTCCCACACCCTGACCACTGTGGTCTCTCCCCCACACCCTGACCACTGTGGTCTCCCTCCCACACCCTGACCACTGTGGTCTCTCCCCCACACCCTGACCACTGTGGTCTCCCCCCACACCCTGACCACTGTGGTCTCCCCCACACCCTGACCACTGTGGTCTCTCCTCCACACCCTGACCACTGTGGTCTCCCCCACACCCTGACCACTGTGGTCTCTCTCCCACACCCTGACCACTGTGGTCTCTCCCCCACACCCTGACCACTGTGGTCTCTCCCCCACACCCTGACCACTGTGGTCTCCCTCCCACACCCTGACCACTGTGGTCTCTCCCCCACACCCTGACCACTGTGGTCTCCCTCCCACACCCTGACCACTGTGGTCTCTCCCCCACACCCTGACCACTGTGGTCTCCCTCCCACACCCTGACCACTGTGGTCTCCCCCCACACCCTGAGCACTGTGGTCTTCCTCCCACACCCTGACCACTGTGGTCTCTCCCCCACACCCTGACCACTGTGGTCTCCCTCCCACACCCTGACCACTGTGGTCTCCCTCCCACACCCTGACCACTGTGGTCTCCCTCCCACACCCTGACCACTGTGGTCTCTCCCCCACACCCTGACCACTGTGGTCTCCCTCCCACACCCTCCCTGACCACTGTGGTCTCCCCCCACACCCTGACCACTGTGGTCTCCCCCACACCCTGACCACTGTGGTCTCTCCCCCACACCCTGACCACTGTGGTCTCCCTCCCACACCCTGACCACTGTGGTCTCCCCCCACACCCTGACCACTGTGGTCTCCCCCACACCCTGACCACTGTGGTCTCTCCTCCACTGTGGTCTCTCCCCCACACCCACCACCCTGACCACTGTGGTCTCTCCTCCACACCCTGACCACTGTGGTCTCCCCCACACCCTGACCACTGTGGTCTCCCCCCACACCCTGACCACTGTGGTCTCCCCCACACCCTGACCACTGTGGTCTCCCCCACACCCTGGCCATTGTGGTCTCTCCCACACCCTGACCACAGTGGTCTCCCTCCCACACCCTGACCACTGTGGTCTCTCCCCCACACCCTGACCACTGTGGTCTCCCCCCACACCCTGACCACTGTGGTCTCTCCTCCACACCCTGACCACTGTGGTCTCCTCCACACCCTGACCACTGTGGTCTCCCCCACACTCTGACCACTGTGGTCTCCCTCCCACACCCTGACCACTGTGGTCTCCCCCACACCCTGACCACTGTGGTCTCCCCCCACACTGTGACCACTGTGGTCTCCCCCACACCCTGACCACTGTGGTCTCCCCCACACCCTGACCACTGTGGACTCCCCCACACCCTGACCACTGTGGTCTCCCCCCCACACCCTGACCACTGTGGTCTCCCCCCACACCCTGACCACTGTGGTCTCCCCCACACTCTGACCACTGTGGTCTCCCCCCCACACCCTGACCACTGTGGTCTCCCCCACACCCTGACCACTGTGGTCTCCCCCACACCCTGACCACTGTGGTCTCCCCCACACCCTGACCACTGTGGTCTCCCCTCCACACCCTGACCACTGTGGTCTCCCCCACACCCTGACCACTGTGGTCTCCCCCACACTCTGACCACTGTGGTCTCCCCCACACTCTTACCACTGTGGTCTCTATAAGGGGTTGCAACTCTTGCTATAAGTGGTTGTAACTCTTGCTATAAGTGGTTGTAACTCTTGCTATGAGTGGTTGTAACTCTTGCTATATAACTCTTGTGGTTGTAACTCTTGCTATAAGTGGTTGTAACTCTTGCTATAAGTGGTTGTAACTCTTGCTATGAGTGGTTGTAACTCTTGCTATAAGTGGTTGTAACTCTTGCTATAAGTGGTTGTAACTCTTGCTATAAGTGGTTGTAACTCTTGCTATGAGTGGTTGTAACTCTTGCTATAAGTGGTTGTAACTCTTGCTATAAGTGGTTGTAACTCTTGCTATAAGTGGTTGTAACTCTTGCTATAAGTGGTTGTAACTCTTGCTATAAGTGGTTGTAACTCTTGCTATGAGTGGTTGTAACTCTTGCTATAAGTGGTTGTAACTCTTGCTATCGTCCGTCTTAAGTGTTCCCGCTCTCGTCTTGGTAGTGTCAACAAGAAGTCGCAACTTCATGTACAGTTGACATCGTTTTTCACTCGTAATCGGTGATCCCGGGTTCGATCCCCGGGCGAGAGAGAAATTGTTGGGCATGTTTCCTTTGTCCTCATGCATGTGGTCACCTAGCGGTGCCTGAGAGTTAGGTCAGCTGTTGTGGGGTTGCCTCCTGGGGTAGGGGGGGGGGTCAGTTGTTCCACCTGGGGGGGCGGGGTTGGAGGGGGGGCCTGGATACAAGCCTAAATCGTATATAAACACAGGCTTTCTGTCACTGACAAAACTAATTATTTAATTATTATTATATTAGAGGGGTACCCGGAAGTGCCCGGGACAGCCTGTCTCTCTCCCTCCACCTATTTTCTTTTCCCTTCTTCCCCACGTCTTCTTTCCCTTCTTTATTATTAATTTCTTACTCAAAAACAATATGTTACCCAGAAAATATATTATTATGGACTAAAAACTCTAGGGGCACCACACCAAATATTTCACATTTGACTCCATGAAAATCACCTGGGTGGGTGGTCTTTATAAATTATAAATGTTTCTTATAATATTTAACTTAAGCCGACACGGAATAGGCTATGTCTGTTCCATACCCAAGACCCTTTACTCTTCCCCCTGCAAAGCTGGGAGCAGCTACCTTATGGTCAACAAGTTTGGCCAGACAGGCTGACAATAGCACATTCTCTCTCTCACAAATATAGCCATATTATGTAATCTTTTAATAATTATTTAATAAACTTATATGTGTTACAAACCCATTATTAGTGTGTGATGAGATGTGTGACTCAAGTGAGCACAATGGCTGGAGATTATTGTTTGTGATGTGTGTCTATGTATGTACTAACACGTTGTACTGAACGGGGTGAGAATAGCTTGAGCTACCTCATCCCTTTGTGTGTATTTTACCTCAATAAACTTATTTCAATTTCAATTTCAATGGCTGGAGATTGTGTATGCTGGTAACAGTTCCGTGTTGTACAGGCAGGTGGAGCAGCGCCTGCGGTGGCTGGCCAACCTGGAGCGGGGACTGTTGGGGCCTCGCGGCGTGGGACGCGCTTCTACCACTAACCTCATGATCGGCCCAGACCCTGAGGACCCGTACCGCGCCATCCACTATCCCCACGCCGTCCAGGCCATCACCCACGCCCTCCTGCAGAAGACTCCCTGGGAGAGCGTGCACCAGGAGCTCTCCTACATCCTGGCGGCTCTCACCTCCTACAGGCAGCTCTTCCCCATCACCTTCCCCGACGAGCCTCACAATACCACTGACGGAGACTTCGCTGAACCTCAGTCATGAAGCAACACTTAGAGCGTGGGGGGTGGAGGGAGGTTGGCATCACCTGGTCACGCTCGGGAAAGCGTTACGTTATTCTCTGGAACTCTATCTGGAGTTAGTGAAAGTTATAGAGGTGCTTTGTTATGGTGTGGCCTTATGATTGGCTACGGCAGCGACATCTGTCGAGGAAACTAGGCAAAGATTTGCCTCTTTAGTTAATAACAGCTGACGGAAACTATTTAAACGATGACATAATATCGTGTTATGAGGCTAACGTGTTAGCCTCATAACACATATCGTGTTATCGTGTTATTACCTGTAAAAATAATTAATAAAGTCTGGTTCTTCCTCTCTTATGGGTACGCTCTGCCACTGTACCGGTGACAAACATGGTGTAGTTTATCACTATGTATTCCTTAGTCATAACTGGGTTTTTGTGTTTCTGGGCTCTTAATAAATGTTTGTGTTGCAGCATAGAGAGACTGGGAGCAGGTCTGGCGTGGTGCCGACTGTCATCTGTCTCTCCATCACTTGTCTCTTAATAAGTCAACTGTCATCTTGTGAGCCTCCGGGCTCAAGCCTCGCATCACTCAGTCAAAATTTATGTGGAAAATTAATCCAGCGAAAAATTAACAGCTAAAAACTGACTTATATTCAAAATATATACTGAATCACATCACTGACCTATTTAGTAGTGTTAATTATTATAAGAACGCTATATTTTTACCTATATGATACACTGGCTGTTTTTTTGTTCGAAGTTGGAGGGCCAGACGCTTGAGGATAGTTTCGCCCAATTTTGCAGGGTGAATGGCCTGAGGAACGGGACGGACATAGGCTAGTCAGGGTCGGTGCTACTGGCCCAGTTATGAGGGAGTTTGTCATAGTAGTCACCCTCCCCCCCTTCCCTTCCACATAATCGGTGAAAACTCCAAGTATACTAATTGGTTGTACAGGATAACTTCAGCCTTACTAAGATTCATCGTGCTCTCCCAATTTGCAGGGAGTGTGGTGCAGAATAGGGAAGGTGCTGAAGGGTAGGGAAGATGATGAGTAGGAGAGAAGGCGATGAGGGGGAGGGAAGGTGGTGGTGATGATGGTTGTAGACGGGGTACAACCTGTCACGGCCCGGAGAGCCGAAATGGTTAGAATAATGTGGGGGGAGAAAGGTAGATAGGGTGGGGGAGGATTGGGAGAGAAGGGGGGGGGGGGGGGGAAAGGGGGGATCTTGGAGAGAAAGTTGGAAGTAAGTCCATATATATATATATATATATATATATATATATATATATATATATATATATATATATATATATATATATATATATATATATATATATATATATATATATATATATATATATATATATATATATATATATATATATATATATATATATATATATATATATATATATATATATATATAGTGACATTATTAAGAGGAGCCTTGCCACAGCCGGTTATCCAGCAGAGAGAGAACCCCACTGCCTAATGCCCCGCAACTACCTAATGACCTACGTGCCTGTTGGTCGCCCCGCCCAGATGGGATCACAGTGACCCCTGGTAGAATGGTAGACAGTTGGTGTGGGAGCACATGTGCACTTCACTCTTAGCCAACACGTATGTTGACTTCAGTGTTGCACATTCGGGTAGCACTGCCACTCATAGGGAAGAAGTCAAGTCTTGCAAATACAGATACCTGGATCACCACAACAATTTTGTCCCCATTACCACGGACACACTTGGTGCCTGGGGTAAAAGTGCTGCTAGTTTTTTTTTTTTTTTTAAGGAGCTGGGTTCTAAGCAAATTGAAACAACAAGAGACCCTAGAGCTGCCAGTTTCCTCTTTAAGCGCCTCAGCATGGCGATACAGAGGAAATGCACACTGCATTCATTATTCCTACCTCCTATCTGAGGAGCTTGAGGAGCTCTACAACCTGTGACAAGTAGCCGTGTACCTTACATGTAACCAATGTTGTGTAATGAAGTTTTAAACAAAGCAACAAAATACACAATATTTAGAGCAGGGTGGGTGAAGACATTATGTGAGTGTATGCAGGTGGCCCACAAGGCAACCTCGGATGCTACAAATCGTCTTCTTCAAGGTCGAGGGTTGGAGTGTCGCGTGTCCCTACACACGCAACCAGAGGCGGACTCCACACCCCAGAAGTGACTCTGTAACACGGGGGGGGGGGGGGGGCTGTTCGAATGATCTTCCCTGCTTTTTTCTCCCTCTACCCGTATTCTTACTTGTGTTCTCTATACTAAGGGACTCCCAAACTCTTACTAAAGCCGACTCCACGCCACGTGGTCCTAAGACGATTTACCGACTTAGGATTCTACAACCCGTATGACGTGACATAGGCTTTGAGCAAAACCCTAGAGTCACCTTTACGCTGCCACCACCAGACCTTGCACTGAGCAATGATCGAGGTCTGGATCGATCATGCTAATTAATCAACCTTGGGGCTTGATCCCCACTAATATCTTATGACCTTGGCACTTAAGTGTGGAATTAATTAAACGGGAATGATAATCCTGATTCGATGTTAGAATCGGCAGCCAATTCAACTCTGCCTCGTGGGGACCACGTGACAAGGACAAGTCCACATAAATATAACATACACATGGAAATAATGAAAATGCAGATTATTATCTAATAATTTATTCAAAATCTAAAACAAAATCTAAAGAGAGCACTGCCTATCAATTTACCACTCCCTACTTGGCAATGAATTGACTATCCCTATAACTAACAATAGCAACTATACCTCTATGTTGACCAGCTTGGGTGGAGTGCTGGTCTTGGGGGGAGGGGGGGAGGTGAGATGGTTGACCTCCCCCAGTTGATCTCGAGCCCACACTAATCTCTCCTCGTCTGGTCTTCCCCAGACTAGAGCATTGTATCCTTCCGCCTAGTCTAATTAAGTTTTACCAAGTTACTAGCAAGGCTTAAGTTTAACAATTAACCTCTGTTGCACTGAATTGATCCAGATTGGTTGAAATATTTTAACTGAAGTTAAATTACACAAGCATCTTAGGGAAGAGCTATTCCTGATCCCAAAATGGCTATTTGACCTTTGAGAATTACTGAATGTGGAAACTGTTGACCTATGACCGCCAGGTCACTCCGCAATAAAGAGTAGTACTGATTCGTGACGTCACTGATGGTGACTTAACTCAATATCCTAATAATTAGAATACTCTTGATATTATAAACAGTAATATTATACAACACAATTCGAATACAAAATGAATAAAGGCTAATTTCTCTAAATAAGTGAATACTATAGAATGGTTCATTATACGAAACTATGAACAAAGACGTCAGCCATTTTGTGACTCAGACTTGCTAATCCCCAGAGGAATGCGCGTTGTGAGGTCAGGTCCCTACACGACTTCTGGAACCTTCTGGATAATTTTTACAACAAGCCTAGTTTGTTACGACTCGAACCCATACTGTAAGGAGCACTATGCAACTGGTGTACAGGAGACCTTAACCGCTCGCCCATCACGACCGTACAAAAGATGGTGGTGGCCGAGGCTATTTGCCCACCTCAAAAATGAGGTGATTTGATAAATTACCATGCCCAAGATTACCATCAGAGTGCCGTCAGGATGATGGGCAAATAGCCTCAGTTACAATATAAAACCAAAAGGATGTTGTTGTAGATTGATTAAGTTGTTGTTGACTGGGGATGGTCGAAGGTTACTTGGTAGTGGGCAGGAATTGGAGTACCAAACGCCCACTGCTTTTCCTTGGTTTTATTATAAAAATAGATGTCTTCTACACCGGGCCACGATCTAGCTAAGAGTGTGCGAGGGAGCGTGTATAATACACGCTCCGTTACCCAGGGCTGTCTCAGAAGGTCTGAAGGGCTGGAAGAAGCAGGGCTGAAGTGCGGCGACACACCAGGAAAAACGCTCTGTATTCAGATCTGCTGATAATGTTGTTGACACCTATTACCAGTTTAGTGCCGACAATAATCAGAAGAGGGTATTAGGTCACCCCCATGTGTGTGTCCAGGGCACGTCCACTGGTGGCCAACCGGCGTCCAACAACCATCATCTTTTGTACAGTCGTGATGGTCGAGCGGTTAAGGGCTCCTGTACACCAGTTGCATAGTGCTCCTGGCAGTATGGGTTCGAGTCACTTCTGGAGTGTGGCGTTTTCAGTTGCATATATGCCTGGGGATCATTCAGGCTTGTTCGCATGTGTTGCTCACATGGAGCCAAAAAATGAGGTGATTTGATAAAATACCGTGACCAAGTCCTCCTCACCTTTCTCCATTCCCCCATCTCCTCGTCCTCCTCACCATGTCACTCTCCCCCATCCCTTCGTCCTCTCCATCATTACACCCCTTCTCCGTCCTCTCATCTTCCCCACCATCCCCCACTTCTTTGCTCCCTTGTCCTCCCCACCATTCTCCACTCCCCCATCCCCTCATCCCCCACTCCCCCGTACCCTCGTCCTCCCCACCAAGCCCCCATTCTCGTCCTCCCCACCATCGCCCACTCTCATCCACTCGTCCCCCCCCCCCACCATTCCCACCCCCTCCCTTTGCCAACACATTCCCAAATAATCTAATGTTCCCATCAGAAAAATGGGAGCATTAAATGATCTGATGTTCCAATCACTGAAAAATTAGTAGAGCAGTTAAAAAACGAAATGAAAAAAATTAAAAAAATAAAAATAAACTCTACTCACGAAATGAACAGTATGGTAAACAACACAGCTCAATTCCAATGTAAGGTCACACAAAATAATTAAATCAAAATGAAAATAAATCGAAATCTATGAAAATTCAATTTATCAATGCGATCTGAAACATTGAAATGGATTAGTGACATATTCAGTATAGCGTGTGTTGCTATTACATGCAACAGATAGCGCTGTTTTTCAGGAAAAGCATGTTTTTACCTGTCACAGGTGTGGCATCTATATAGTAGGTATGTAAATAAACACTCGTATTAGAATGGAACGTTGCGTCAAAATTTCTAAGCAATCGGTGAAGAATTTTTGGAGATTAGCGATTTTGAACAAAATGTAAACGAACATTTACATTTTCATTTATATAGAATATATATTTATATTCTCAAAGACATATTCGTCAATTTTAACATGATGTTCATTCAAAAAGGAATTTTCACAAATATAAATTAATATTGTTATAATTTAGCATACTGAGCATATTTAGACACTGGTTAGGTTAGGTTAGGTGTTTAGGTTCTGTTGGTGATTATTTGTATTTGTAGTACGTGGGTGAAGCATTTACAGCGTTGTGGTTCGAACTGAAGTTACCAGCAAAGCACTTGTTCCGGAAGTGTTCGGACGTCATCAGTTGTGCAACCCGCTTTCACATCAGGCTGTTTAAAGCAGCGGCCGGCCTCCCCAAACGCATTCATCAATTTTAACATACTGTTTATTAAAATTTGGTTTGTTCTCATATATAAATTAATATTCTTAAACATAAAAATTGTATGTATAGTTTAGCGCAGGTTAGGTTAGGTTAGGTTAGGTTAGGTTAGGTTAGGTTAGGTTAGGTTAGGTTAGGTGTTTAGGTTCTGTTGGTAATTATTTTTTATTTATAAGTTCGTGGGTGAAGCATTTATAGAATTATGGTTCGAACAGAGGACGTGAGCAAAGCACTTGATCCGGAAGTGTTCGGACGTCATCAGTTGTGAGTAGTGTGTAAACCGCTTTTTAAGGACGGGGCTAAACATTAATGTCAACAAATGAGTCAAAAATTATATGAGTTGTTCATTAGGTTTCATGTTGGGGATTTAAACAGATTCCAAAATGTTGTGATATAAGAACTGAAAGTCAGAGGAGTGCAATCGCTCCTAGTGAGGAAGGTGGCTCATTCCTTCACATTGATCTCTCACCGAAGACACACCTGTGCGGTGAGAGACACACCTGTGCTCG